AGCTGCAGAGAAGTTGTGGGAGTTGTGTGTTTTGTATATGCATGCATATGCGTGTGCGTGTGTGTGTGAATCCACATCTGTGTCTGCTCCGCATCGAGAAAAGTTAGATGGTTAGGTTTATTTATATAAGCCACAGCGCCTGGTTTCCATCAGAGGAGATAGGGTGTGAACGTTGCCAGATTTATTCTTTATCTGCTGTCGGTGGCCCTGAGCGTGAGTAAGTCAGGATAACAGATCGGCAGAACTGGTTCACTGAATCACAGTGACAAAAAACAACACAGTGGGACTACAGGGGGAAGAGACAGGGTTGGTTTGATTTATCACTGCTGTCTGATATCAGATGTTACCAGTCTTATCTGCACTGGCTCAGCTCCTGATGGAGATATAAGATAGATACCCCTGTTCCTCAAGAACTTTTGAGTCTAACATACACAGCATAACAGACGACAACAAGATAACCCTGGAAATCCTTACATGGAGTAATGCAATAAGGATCACTGTGATGAGCCGCAAGACTCTGGAAACACAGGGGAGAAGCAGCTGTGTTTGGAGGCACTGACGGCGGCTGACTTCAGATGTATGTTGGCAGAGTTTTGCAGAATAGCAAAGCACAATGTGACACAGTTAGATACATAGCGTGAGGACCGCAAATCCGTGGAAATACACAGAGCAAGTAACAGTTGTTTAGATGCACGAACACTGGATGATTTCAGCCCAGTGACTTTCACTTATGCTCATCTGGTGCTGACCCGAAGCTCGGCTGAACCCCCCCCCCCCCCCCCACACATTAGGGNAAAAATGTTGGATTCATTTCAAATCAGTTCAAACACGCAACACGATATACTGTGAATATGCAAAACACGCAAATTTTATTTCTGCATAAGGTCTGTATCTGCAATCCATAGTCCTGGAATCCACTGAAAAAGCATCCATCACTCACAGCTCTCGCCTACAAGACTGCAGCACTGTCAGGATCATTAGTAACAAGAGTCACTTACATTGAAAAAAATGTTTATAGTTCTTGTGGTGAAAGATTTCTTTTTGTTCTTTAATAAAGTGACAGCAGATGGGAGAATTTTACTAATTTGAAACATATTTATTATGATAAGGTTAAAATGTGGGCTTTTAAATCCCAATGTGACATTGTATGACAGAGCAGGAAACAGTAAGACTGGAGAAAGAAGTATTTAGATTCTTCACTCCAGTAAAAGTAGCAACACTGCAGTGTAAAAATACTCAGTTACAAGGTACTGCATTCTTAAAGGTAAAAGGTTTTGTAATGTATTATTTAATTGGTATTACTGATGCATACACATGTAAGAAGAATGTAATGTATGATCAAATATTCTGAATGAAAAATCTGAATCTGCAAAGTGACTATTAACCTCACCTGATACACCCAAATTATTAAAAAGAAAAAAACTTATTTCACCATCTACCTCTAGTGGTATCTAGCATAATGTGACATCATTTATGCAGATGTGTCGGCTGCACATTCAGGCTGCCAATCTCCCGTTCTACTGGATTCAGGTCTGGTGTCTGGGGAGGTCACTGAAGTTCACTGACCTTACTGTCATCAGTAAGGTCATGAAACTAGTTTGAGACGACTGTTGCTTTGTGACATGCAGCTTTATCATGCTGGAAGTAGCCATTAGAAGATGGTAAATTGTGGTCATAAAGGGATGCACCTGGTCAGCAACAATACTCAGACAGGCTGTGGCATTCAAACCATTGATTGATGATTGACACAAGACAGGTTGTGTCCACGGTTTCATACTTTTGATGCCAAATTTGGACGCCTGAGCAGAAATCCAGACCCATCAGACCCGGCCGCTTCAACTGTTCAGTGTTGGGAATCACCACCAACACAGCAGGACTGCATACACAACTATATTCTTCCCTCTCAGCTGCACATGAGCATCAGAAAAGACTGTGACATTCACACCTGTTCCCCTGTAAACAATGGCAGGTGGGAACCAAAATTACTCCACACTAAAGGGGGTTGTAAATAAGGAACTTAAATGTATATTGCAGCAATGGATAAACAACGTGAATTGATATGGTAACCCAAATATGTACATAAGTCTACATATATGTACATATGTATACACTGACCGAGCACTTTATGCAATTAATGTATATATGTATTATATTCTGTAAATCCATGTGTGTGTGAGTGTGTATATACGTGTGTGTGTGTGTGTGTGTGTGTGTGTGTGTGTGTTCCTTGAGCAAAACCTTTACAGTAGAATGTGACAGCTAATTAGTAACTTTTACTTTCCCACGTACAGGAGTTACAGGAGCAGCAGATCATGTGGGGTTGGGGAGGATTGTAACATGATAAAGTCTTTCTCAGTCAGACAAGCTCTGGAATGAAGGGGCGGATCATGGTCTTAGAGGGAACTGGGGCGAGGTAGACAGAGTGAGGGACATGGATAGGAGGGAGAAGGAGATAAAAAGAGATGGACACAGAGGGACGCAAGTGGAGAGGGATGAAATGAAAGAAACAGCAGTGGCAAAGAAAAGTGTGTGGGAAGGATGAGGCAGATCCACACAGACAAGTGTGGCCTAAAAAAAAAAAATGAGTTCAATGTAGAGCAAGAGAGTAAGAGTGGCAGACATGAAGACCAACAGAAAAAAAGACAGAGACATGGAGAGACAGACTGACAGACATGAAGCCTGAGAGACGAAAGCTGCTGATTGACATACCAGCATGAAGGAACTCCTTGTACGCTCCAACTTTTATCCATAAACCCTTAGTTCTGTTCATATGAATGTGAGAGTGACACTAATTGGCCATAATAACCACCAGGGAAATAGTAGTGGATGGGGATTCTGGGTAATATGAAAATGATGATAGAAAGCGACTGAAGGACGTCTGTGTCTTAAATCTATCTGCAGTTGTTATCCAGAGAGATATCTAAGGGTCAGGGGAGGTCAGGGGGATGAGGACAAATTGAGAAGCATGCAGACTGAGAGGGAGTATCTGGGAATGTTGTAGTCCTACTTTGGGTTTCAATACATGTTTTTGAGAACATGTTTGTTATCTGAAGTCATTTATGACAGCCTTCACTTTAATGGGATTATTTTAGAATTAGTGTTTGAGTTAAGGTTAAGAGAAGGAGTTATTTCAGCAGGGTTAGGGTTAGGGTTAGTTATACAAAGTTATTTCAACACCAAAATCAGCACCAAAGGGGACAGACAAAGTTAATGACTAGCTGGTGAACATCAAGCTGCTATGTCCGCAATAATTCCCTAAAAAGTTGGTGGCAAAAAATACTAACTAATATGGGAGTGAATATTCCACTTACTTTTGCCAATTGGTCAGAAAATGACTCTAAATAAATATTAACAATGTCTGCTGGGTGTGTAAATAAGCAACTGTTAGTTAACAGCTTCTCTATATTAATTTAGGGCCACAAATTAGTTAAAAACTTAAAACTTCTGCGTTAAAGGAGGTTCAACCGTAAGTGTTGAATGCTCACCTTTAAGTCAAATGACAAACACACAGAATTAGCTGAATAGCCGTGTTTAGATCTATATTTTGGTTTTCCAGCTACACGTACGGTGGGCTGTCAATATAAATAGAAGTGTTGATGACGATTTAATTAGCAAAAGAAATTAAGGTACAATAAGTCAGCTAACTGCCCAGCATGAGAGCCAAAATGAACAACCGACTGGTTAAAGCTAGTACGCTAAAGATCAAAGTACTTTTCTTCTGAGTTTGTCGACTGAACCAGAAGGCTAGATGTGTGTGGGGTGCACAGAAACATGACTCCAGTGGGATGCTAATGTTGCTTTCTGTCTGCTGGATGTATCAGTAGGGATCTGTTTGCTAACACATTAGCCATAATAACATGATAATCCCTTAGTATGTCTTTGTTTTTTAAAGGTCTTTGTTTTTTCACTTTGTACAGAGGCTGTTGAGCTTTGTCTCTGCCTGCAGTGTTTCTGCTAACTTATGCTAACTTGACTAAACAAGTAGTGACTCCCATGTCCCAGTTGCTTGTGCTAACTTTAGTAACCTTAGTTATATGACAACTGCGCTCAGGCTTCGCTAGCTAACAAATTTAAATGTCAATAGCTGCTTAGCTGGCAGATTACTTGAACTGACGAAGCCCAATATGAATTTGCTTCAGATGAACTGTAAGAAGCATTGTACAGTATGAGGACTGTGGATTTTGTTCCCTACCTTACAGGCATTAAAAAGGTCTTTTTTCACAGTTTATGAATTATTACAGAGACCAGTAACTCTTTCAACGTACATATGGGTAAGTGATTACTATATAAAGGCAGAAAATCGATGCTTTAACACACAGACTTGACATTGATATCTTTCTTTTAGGGTCATTCTTGAAAGAAAAGCAAATACGTATTTCCAAAAGTGTTGAACTATCCCTTTATCCCAGTGGCCTGCTTTAGATACACTCATAATTTGATTTCCTGTCAAATATCTCAAAGGGTTTGAGATTAACTTGAAATTATACACATTTGAGAGGCAAGAAATGTTATTATCAATATCATATTAATGTGGAATAAACATTTCCATTGGTAGTTGGAGTATAAACACTACAAGGATATGTGTGTGTGTGTGTCTTTTTGTGGGTTGGTAGATGTGGAGTTGTGGAGGCATACAATGGGAGCCATTGTTGAATCATGCAGTTATCCTGAACTGATCTGACATTTGCACCAGCGGACAATTTCTCTTGAATGTTGTACAGAATAATAATCAGTCCGGGGTTTGAGATATTGATCTCAAATCTCACTGGAGCCGCACATTCAACAAGTGACCAGATTTCTGATTATTGTTTTTCCAAATCTTTCTTTTTTTGTCCAGAAACAATGAGCAGCAGCTGGGTGTATACTAACTGTGTATGTGTGTAAGAGGACCACAATGTTTGTGTCAAGGCCTGACTATAAACTTACGGTAAAACTGCCAGTCATTGCCAGTTATTCATTTGTCATTTCCTTTTTCCTGTTTGTGTTGTGTGATTTCATAGGAACTGGTGTGCTTATGTGGTGACACGCACGGTTAGCTGTGTGATGGAGGACGGGGTGGAGACGTACATCAAACCAGACTACCAGCGCTGCACCTGGGGCCAGTGTCCTAGAGTGGCGTGAGTATCCATTACTCTCTTCTTTAGTATCTCATATCTGCTCTGATTCACTCTCTCTGCCGCTGGAACCTAATCTGTATTCAGTCTTGCTCCTCCAACTTCCTGTCGTCAGCTCAACAGAAGTTTGTATCCTCTATCCGTGCATCATCTCTCCCCCTTTTCCGTTCTGTGGATACTGATCTCACTCAGCTCTTTTCATTTTCTGTCTAACTTTCTCCCAGGAGAATTTCAGCAGTCTGGTCAGGAAAGTGTCTGTTTGTAGTTGGGCTTGTGTGAAGCCAGGACGTCATATAATTACAGCTCAGTATTTGGCTTGTTAATCTCAGTAATGAAGTACTGGTCTTAAACAAACACATTACTGTGGTTAGCTCTGGTTTGCCTGGTGCAGACCTACAAATATCCAGTATGAATATTGCAGCAAATTTACTATAGATAAGATTGATTGAATTATTTCTCCAGATGTTCGTTTTATGTTGCAAGACAACGTTCATCAAGTGCTCCTTTGAAGTTTTGACCATATTGCCTGGCCTGGCTGCTTGATCCCCATGCCTGCCAGGGACCTCAGCCTAAACCTAGGCTATGCTAAGAATGAAGCCGGCAGGGGTTCCAGGCACCACAGTCTAGTATCCTACCCTGTAAAAGCAATCTCTTCTTCTTACTCTGTCTGTCTGTCTTTCTTTTTTATGACTCTCCTCCTTTCTTACTGTTTCACCAACTCTACCAAACTCCACCTCCCTCCATCTCTCCAAGCCCTGTTTTTGTTTTTCCTCTGAGAGCACGTTGGATCCCTTTTTCTCACGCTCTCAGAGCAGGGAGCTGGAAGATGAAATCTTTTCTATGGCACAGAAACAGCTCTGCGATACCTACACTGATGTTTGTGGGTTGGCATAAGGGAGAGCAACCTGCTGAACTCTCACAATCAGGGCTTGTTAACGTGCCTGTGACGCTGCCATAAATCTTTATGGCGACTTCCGGCCAATTCTGGTCTATTTATTGCATTGTTACTGTAACAGGGGCTCTCTTCAGTGGCAGAGCCGAATGACACATTAATGATAAAACTACAGAACACTGTGCCAAATAAAACATCCATATTTCTTTTCAGAGGAGTCATCTATGAGCAAAAAAGTAAGATATACTGCTGGCTGAACGCAGCTGATGTGTGTTGGAAAATGGGACAGGAATAACATTTAAAGTTTACAAAGCACTCTTAATCCGATCCATCATCAGTAGATGATTTGTGGGTATTTCCAGACATCTAATGGCTCAGTGCACATTAATGTGAACAGACTCCAGTGATTATATTTAGTACAGAGTTCAGGAACTGCTATAGGGCCTTGACCTGGTTTTCAGGACCAGACTACAAATTTTAAATCTCATAATGTCGTGATCTGCCGCAATCTAACTTTGCTCTAGTTCCAAGTTGATTGGAGTTTTAAGACACATATAAACAAGACTATAAGTCTACAGCCATGCTCGCTGCTCTATGAGACTGTACAGCAGTCCTTTGTTTTGCTAACGCCTTCACGGTAACATGCGCAAAAAACAATGCTAACATACTGATGGTACAATGTCTGCTATGTTCACCATCTTAAAGCACTAAACACAGAACAGTACAGATGGTAATGCCAAGTAGGTTTTGTAGGAATTTGGTCATAAACCAAAGTATTGGACAATATTCTGATATGTCCAATATGAAATGACACTAAATTCAGGAGGATACATCCACTGAGGACCATGATTGTCTGAAATAAAATGGCAATCCATCCAATGGTTATGGAGATAGTTTAGTTTGGAACTAAAGTGTTGGACCAACCAACCAACAGACTAACAGTGCTATCCATAAAGCCATGTCACCTGCATGGTGAAAGGATCAAGTGTCAAATATAGAATACCAACTCCAACCAACCAAGTTAGGTTCATGTCATTAGTGTTAAAGCTCAGTGTTTAAATGTAGAAAAGCAGCATTTACTCCTGTCAAGTCGGAACTAATAAAAATCCAAGATGACATTTCACAACTATTTCACCCTCAGCTACCGGACATACAGGAGGCCAAGGTACAAGGTAGCTTACAAGATGGTGACAGAAATGGAGTGGAAGTGTTGCCATGGTTACTCAGGGGAAGACTGCTATGATGGGCCACAAGTAACCACAGAAGGAGGGCGACCTCGTGTCACGGAAACGGGGTACAACCCAGGAGGCGGGCAGAAAGGAGCGGGTGGTAAGAAGACTGTATGAAATATAAATTGCATGTATCAAGGATCCAGATGTACTTTATTAATTTGGTGAAATATCACTCCCACATCTGTCTTGTGAGTCTTTATATCTTAAAGATGAATGAATGAATGAATTCTTTTCAGGAAGTCATATATACAGTTTCATGATGCATAACTGTAAAAGACAGGGGGAAATCTCCTTTCAAAAAAGTCTATAATTGAATCTAAGCCAGTCTGATTAAGTATTTCCCTATAATACAAAAAGCGACAATCAAAATTAAAGTTTTGGAAATAAAACATACTTAGTTATTATTTATGTAGAGTTTAACAGTCAAAAACTCAGCTAATCTGCCTCATCCGCACTGTTTGGGTGTGGTTTGATCAGATGTGGTGGACAGTGCTGGCAACATAAGCAGACAAACCATCAACTCCTCAGATTTAGATTCAGATTTTGCTAAACTCTGATTGGTTCACAGAAATAAATGACTTCATCTTTTCCCAATTGAGCGACGCCCTACGAAAACAAAGGAAGTGGTCAAAGTTTGGCGTAAAACATTGTGTTCATGTCAGGCCACATCGCTCATGTTAAGAAGCCAATTGAGAAAAAAAGGTTTTCTGAGTTTTAAACATTTGACATGTTCCATACTTTGTTGATTTTGCATGTGGCAAGATGATTTTTTAGAATTAAACTCATTTACATTTCCCCTCTCATATTGGCCTTTCATTTTCATTGCTTTTAGGTGACAATGAGAAGATTAGACAGCTGGAGGAGACGATCCGTGGTCTGACCAAAGACCTCCACAACATGCAGACCACCATTAATGGCATAAACCAGAAGCTGTATGTAAATGTTGTTTCTTAATACACAGTGTACAGTGTTTTATTTCATGAGGTGCAAACTCAAATACACTGATACAGTATCACTCAGAATCCTAGAGAATGTTCAGTGTATATCTTTTCCTGTTTATTCATGTTTATTGCAGCGGGTCAGTTTACGGAGAGAGGATGCACTTGTTTATTAATGTATATACTGAGATTTGGTAATTACTTTAGGAAGACATATATACGTATCCTCAGGAAGATACACCCTGTGACTTTTACCGCTCTTCACCCTAACCGCTAACCCTCACCTCCACACAACACATTCCTGAGTACATGATCAATTTTGTAGAAATTATTTTTACTCTTCCTCTATATAGGCCTGGTCTGAATGGGGCAATTGTCCCTGCTGATTCAGCTCAGCCACACATGAAAGAAACCATCAACAGCATCCAGACCAAGCTGGATCACCTGTATAATAGGACGCAGGTAAGACATGTCTGTTTTTACGCCTGTCTACATATCTACAATTTAAATGTAAGACTAGACTATATTCATTTATGTGAATATTTGTTTGTGGGTAGGTCCATGATCAGACCCTGCTCAACATCAACAACCACCTGGTGAACGGTGGGGGCAATGAACTGGACGGAGCGGCTAGAGGAGGAGGATCTGGGGGGAACCAGCTGAACACTCTGAAGGAGCAGATACTGACAGAACTTGAGAGAAGGGTGTCTTTGTCCTGCTCTGCCTGCCAGGTGAAACTTAATAAGCAAAAACAAAAACTAACATAAAAAAAACAAGTTTAATTTCTGTTTGTTTTGCTGTTCAATTTTCATGCATCTACTTTATTCCCAGTGGTGCTCTGTCAGTGATTTCTGCTGCCTCAAGCAGTAAAAAATAATGGCCACATGCAGGCTGTAATACAATCAAACAGAACTCCCACATGAGCCACTGCACAAACAAATAATAAAACTAAAAAACAATACTGCAAAAAAGTTAATATCATGCAGTGAAAGAAAGATTTTTTTTTTTTTTTTAAAGGAAAATGGCAACAAACCCAACCACCAGCTGTCTGAAATAACTGGTGGGTTAAAACTGAACATAAAAGAAAGTATATTTTTTTTATAACTTTTGTTTTTATTTGGCTTACGTGTATTTTCAAGTGCAATCACAGTTCCCTGGATACCTCTCCTGTCTACAACACCACCAAAGGTCGAAGGTTAAGGTCACCGTGAGCTCATGTCTGTCCCATTCGTGTGAACGTAATATATTGGAACGGACGGATGGAATTTCATTAGTTCTGGCACAAACGTTCACTTGGAGTCAAGGATAAACCTGATTAGAATTTGGTGGTCAAGAGTTTTTATTTTGTTGTTGGTTGAAAAAATGCACCTGAACTTAAATATGTGAATCATATAAGAAATGAAGAAAACCTGGCGTGTCAACTCTCTACTTCTTCACAAATACATACTGTAGCACAATAAACAAAGTATTATGGGAAAGCAACAAAGGAAAACTTGTGATGCATTTTCTATTTTCTAAACCGCTTTACTATATATGTGAAAAAAGATGTATGAAGTTTTTCATTTGCCTTAAGTGACGTCACTTGAGTCGGCATCGGTTTGGGCTGAAGACTACAAGTTTGAAAATGAAAAGAGAGTCAAAAAAAAGTTAGCTTACCAGACCTCCTAAACCCATTCCTTGAGGATAGCGGCTTAAGACTACATTAGCCACTGCTAGCATAACGCATTGTGGATAATGTAGGTGCACACCCGACACCGCTTAGGACTCAGAGGGCACTTTCAACTCTAATGGACCACAAGATACAGATTACTTTCAAATCAAACAAATTTGGGATGGAGTTACATCGGCAAAAACCTTGCATGAGACCCCTGAAATCATAAAACAGAAGACATAATTGATACAAGATATACAGCTAGGAATAACAATGACAGTTCTTGTTATCCCTGTTTGTTTCAGGCTGGTGTGGAAGACCTGAGGCGTCAGCAGCAGGAGGACAGGGAGAGGATCAGGGCCCTGGAGAAGCTGTTCAGCTCCATGGACCAACACTTTAGGCAGAGCCTGGAAATCTCACGCAGTGAGACTGAACGCTCCCAGGCCTGCTGCAAAAGAGTCACTGAGCTGGAGAAGAGGCTGTCTGACGTAGAGGTCCGCGTCACCTCCACTGCTAACAAGTGTGACACCATTAAAGGCCGTCTGGATAAGGAGCTTGCTGGGACCGGTGGTGGAAAGGGAAGAGTGACAGAGGACAGGTTCAATGGCAGACTGAGAGAATTAGAGAAGAGGGTGAATAACACCCTGAGGAAGACAGAGCAGAGGTGTACGAATACCGGGAACAACATGAAGGACACTGTCCAGAGAGACGTAACACAGCTGCGCAACATGGTCCTCAGTCGGCTGGATGACCACAGCTTCAAGATAGGAAAACTAGAGCTGGATGTGGCCGTTCTTGGAGATACGGTGACGGACCATAGTCGACGTTTAAGTCAGCTGGAGAACATTACAACCTTCTTGGACAGAAGACTAACATCGACCACAAAGATGTGCAATGAGACCTGTGGGCCTAATGGAAAAGGCCAAAAGACTGATGACACGGTGAAAACCTTACAGTGGAGAGTTGTGGCAAATCAAGAGGAGATCCAGAAGTTTAACACCAAGCTAAACAATCTGTCCGTGTCAGGAGACTCCCTGAGTGAGAGAGTGATCAACTTAACGGATGATGTCAAAAAGATAATCGCTGTGACAGGGAAAAATGGTGAAAACTTCAACCGGATTGTCACAGAAATTGAAATTTTGGGCCGTGACTTTGAGGACTGTTCCATTTGCAGCAGTATGAAGGAGGACTTACGCTCATTAACCAACTCCACCATCACCGGTATCAGCAGGTGCCAGACAGAGCTGACGGATCTGCGCAGAAAAGTCGACTCGGGAGAATCCATCTGCTCTCAGGTGTGCTCCAACCTTCAGGAGGAGGTAGGACGACTCAGAGAGGAAGTGGAGGAGTGCACTGGACAGTGTAAAATCAACATAAATGATCTCAAGACACGTCTGGATGGTCATACTGTCCACAATGGGAGATTAGGAGGCGATCTGAAGTCTATCCAAGGAGAGATTGCTGGTTTTATGGTCACGTTTAACTCCATAAATGAAACTCTGAAGGGGCTGGGAAGGACTGTACAGACACACGGGAACATGCTGATTGATCTGACCAACAACAAGGATGATATAGTATCTGAGGTAAGATGTTAAGAGGTTAAACTATCCTAGATTTCACAGTAGCTACAGTAAGAGTCTAATGCAGCTCTGTGCAGCTACATGTTAAGATCAGCCTGCTAGCCTGCCCACACTGACAATGCTAACATGTTGATGTTTAGAGGGTATAATGTTCCTCATCTTAGTTTAGCATGTTAGCATGCTAACATTTGGTAATTAGCACTAAACTAAAAGAAGTAGAGCTGATGATTGGAATGTCATTGGCCCAGAGTGTTGCCCAATTTTGACCTGGTAGTGGCGCTACATAAAAACTCAAGGGATCACTAAAGTTATTACTGTTCATCCTGAGGGGAACATTAGCAATCGTTCTAATAGTTGTCGAGACATTTCACTCAAAACCAAAAATGTCAACAAGCTAATTGAGCAAGAGAAAAGCTCAAAGTGTCACCAGAGTGATTAGGACTTGTCCTCTGAGCACCATGAATGTCTGTACAAGATTTCATGGCAATTTCATTCAGTAGTTATTGAGATATATCATTCTGGGTCAAAGTGGTGGACCAGCTGCCCACCATGCTTAAGAGTCAAGCTGCTACTGCGGCTAAAAAAAGCAAAAATTAGGGAAAAGTCAGAAAAATAATCATTATTTGTCAAGCGAAAATCCACCATTATTTTGTTTCTGGTAAACGCTTGGAATCCACTCATATTTTTCTTGTGACCTCTTTGGGGTTCCCTTGCCCCAGTTTGGGAACCACTGTATTATGTTGAACTGGTCCCTCAGCATTAGACAGAAAAGATCAAACTACCATTATGATGTTAATTGGCAGATCATGTGTGCTGTCATATTAAACTGTACATGTTGAAACATAACTTTTCTTTATGTACTGTTAAAACAACATTATGTCGATCAAACATGTCTCTTGGTTATCTTGGCAACTGCGTTTTCACATAGTGTTGTTATAGTTATGAAAATATTTGAGCACATAACAAATATTTGAGTCTTCTTGACAGACATGGCCTAGATGATAGTCTTACATATATTTGTGTGTATAAGATACGATAGAAAAATAAATCATAGCAAAGATGGAAAAAAGTTTATTTATAGTGGAACTTTGTCAAAGGAAACTCGCCCAAAATACACACATTAACATTAGTGCCTACATTCTCTACAAGGTGAACAACTTGCAGAACAAGCTGACGGAGCACGTTGCGGACTCGAGGAGTCGATTTGACAGCCTGGGCAGAGAGATCCAAATAATTAGGAGCAACTATGTGACAGAGGTGGGGGAGTGCCGACGGGCCAGCGACGGTCTGGACCGAAGACTCTCCAAGCTGGAGGGAGTGTGCGGACGATTCGACTCTTTTTCAGACAGCCTGGAGAGGATCAAGGAGGGCCTGAACCGACATGTGTCTGGGCTGTGGAGTTGCGTTAATGGACTCAATGTCACGGTAACATCGCAAGGAGATCTCATCGACAATATCCAGAACGTACAGCTGGAGAACGTCCACACCAAGATACGCAGGCTGAACTCCTCAGTGCTGGACTTGGCCAAGGAGTTCCACAGTTTCTTTGAGAAGGACTTCATGGGTAAGTCAGAGAGGAAGAAGGGGCATGGGATTTGACTTTTGGAGAAGAGATAGCACCACCGGTTGAAGGGAGGCAAGGTCAGGGTGAGGGGAAAATAGACCAACAACAGAATCCAGTCCGTCATCCTTTGAAGCATTCACTTAAGAGCCCATGAAGTCTGCAGTCTGTCTGAAAGAGTAGCTTTAGTAAACATGAGGGTGAAAGGCACATCCTGAATCAAACCGGGTTAAATGTCTTAGCGTTCTTGGCTTACTGTTCATGTTTTTTTCTCCTAAGAGACACTATTCCTGGTAAAAAAGATTTTCGTGTCTCAGTTGTGCTGTCTCACCAAACATTCTGCTACCTCCAGGTCCACCTGGTTTGCCAGGACCCCGTGGAGAGAGAGGCGAGCGTGGACTCGACGGTCCTGTAGGACCCCAAGGGAGGGTGGGACCTCCAGGCAGATTGGGAGAGCAGGGACCAATGGGACCGCCAGGTAAAGACAACAAACTTTGCCTTTACTTTGTTTACTTTAATAACAGTGACTGATTTAGAACTTATATCTTTGATCTTTCTTTCTGCACATCTACTGTAGATACAATGAGATAAGAATGAAAAATAAACAGACAGAGTGATATTGTTGGATGATTAACTCACTGTTTTTATCTTTCATCTTCCTTCTCAGGTCTCAGAGGTGAACAGGGTATGTGTTGTTCCTACTAAACAGCAGATGAAAGCACTCATTACTCTTTGATCTTTATTTCACTCTGACTCCTACTCTCCGTTTCTTCCCCACAATCAGGTCTTGCAGGGTCTGATGCCCACGTGCCACGCCTTTCTTTCTCCGCCGCTCTGACTCGTCCAATGAGAGGCGCAGGAACCATAGTGTTTAACGAGGTCTTTGTCAATGAAAACAATACCTACAACCCCAAAACAGGTCAGTTTTAGTTCAGCTGGAATTGCAACAGGTTCTTGGAAAGATCAATAATATCTTGTTACACCTTCAATTTTCTGAAAAATATTGTGATTTTTAAGGGTCATATCATCCAAATTACAAAAAACATATTGTCTCACTTACACTAGTTCTGGTTTTATCTAGCCACCAGACTTGGTTTTATTTTCCCAGGTTTTGAAATATCCATCTTTAAAATTTCTACTGGCCTCCAAAGTCAGCTGAGATTAAAAGAATTTTATTTGTGTGGTGAATTTTCTTTTTGATAAACTCAAAAGAAAAATGTTTTTCTTATTTCTGTAAGTTGAAGTGTAAAGTGTTTATACTTATGTCAGTATAAGCCACATTAGTCGCCATATTTCTGTTACTATTTTTCTTGAATGTAGCTTGGTAGTTAGCTAGCAAAATAGAAAGAAGGCGTCCATATTCTTAGTCCTGCCTACGAAGTTTTGATTTGAGAACCTGACCCTTTAAAATAGGGTCATTTCCATTCATTGACTTTTTAATGTGATCCAACATGCTAGAAAAAAATTATGATATTGTTTAATTGACCTTCAAAGACCTTCAAAGTACTCATGGAAAATAAATACAAATATGACAACAAATGAGGCTCATATTCTCACTTTTTCACACACAGCAAATGCACAACATTAATATCCTCCTCGTTACCCGCCTCCATCCTCCAGGTTATTTCACAGCTCCGGTGAGGGGGAGGTACTTCTTCAGCGGCATTCTTACGGGCCACAAGAACATAAAGATCGAGGCCGTGTTGTCCAAGTCCAACACTGGAGTGGCCCGAGTGGACTCGGCTGGGTATCAGCCCGAAGGCCTGGAGAAACCAATGGCAGAGGCCAAACACATTCCCGGAGCTCTGGCTGTCTTCAACATCATCCTGCCCATGGAGGCAGGGGACACAGTCTGCATCGACCTCGTCACGGGCAAGCTGGCCTACTCCTCTGAACCTTTGACCATCTTTAGTGGGATGCTGCTGTACGAGACCATCTGATTGGATGCGGTTTCATCATGACCTGTCAGTCTGGGTAAAACTTCCTGCACACGGGCATCTAATTTGTCTGTTGAACTCTTAAGCGACAGAGTCATTGACTGAGCAGTCAAAGAAACTGAAATACCTGGACTGGATTTATTCAGCAAGGAGAAATATACCTTATATTTTATCTTATGTGCTAAGAAAGAAGGAAATTTCAACACAGCTTTAAGGAAAATTATCTGAGTAAAGCAGTTGTGTTTTCTTCAGAAAAAGCCCCTCCAGGTTTATCTTATAATTCCATATTTCATGCTGTGCTATAAACTTGAATTCTTTACTGATTACACCAGGACAGCCTCCAGGTCTTTCTGGTGTCACTGAATGGAAAGTTGGTAAAATGATAAAGGATTAAGGATGTGGTTTTTTTGTTTTTTGCGTGTTATCCAGCCACAGCATATCAAATGTTCAGAGGTTATTACACATTCGTTTTCCCGTATTGCTCACAGTTTCATTTTGACCACAAGCAAATTTTCAGGAACATAATGCTGAGTGCCAATTGTCTTGAAAAAAAACTGCAGAGTGATGCAGGCAGAGGGGGGGGGGGGGCACGTCCAAACCACTATTCTTTAGAGGGAAGTGCACAAATTAAGTCACTAACAGTTCAGACGAGAAACCACAGGATTTTATAAATCATACGACAGCAAAACAATAAGACCATTTTAGGACATTAGCTATGCCCAGTAACACAAGGGGAGGAGGATGGCCAGGGGGAAGAATGAGGATTTTTTTTGTGTGTCCTAATAAGGGCCATCTAAACTTGGTGGAGGATCAAGTAGTTAAAGTTATGAAGCTGTTACTATTAGTCTGTCTTACAGTGGAATTTTTATGTAAAGCTAGCAATAACAAATAATAAAGCTACACATACCGTTGTTTCTATGCTACAAATCCCACCTCTTTCATGAATATACACACATATCCTGCTTTTAAAAGTCTAATTAAAATGGCTTCAGAGAAAAATATGTGCATGATATCAAGTTTGTAGATATTCTTGAATGGATTTTTAAAGGAACATTGTACATTTTCTGCAGAGATGACACAGCAGATTGGGCCCCATGTTGCATTATATTTATGTTATTGTTGAAGTAATACATCAGCATATCAGGGTTTGCTCACAATGCATATTGTTTGACAATTTTTTCCTCAGTGTTCAGTATGGAAATGTATTTTTATATGTTTCTGTGCATTGTATAACCGTGAAGGAATGTAAATATTTTTCAGCTGTTTTGCCCTTTTTTATGAATTACCACTTCACCGTTGCCAGGTACTGTATATGTTTTATATGTTTTTGCCACGTGTGCCTCAAATACAGATACCCAGTTTTACACAGCTGATGTCAACAGTCTCTCTTTTATCTGGATTTTCTTCCTTTATTAGATGAGCAGGAACGTGACAGATTTTACACACTGTTTAGCCTGTTTGGGACTGCACTTATTTAATCTGGCACTTTTTTGGCTTTCACAAATACACACAGCTGGGTTAATTTTGTTTCTGGCTCCTGCTTAAAATTCTCTCAAGCTCTTTCTTTCGGCTACAATGGGATATTTTTAGGCGAAGACTTTGAGGAAGGAGTTGAAAAGCCATTTCACATGCTGCACTGCAGTGACCCCTTGTGTTCAGTTTCATTATCCTCATTCTAGCTGATGGTTCTGCTGCTGATCCTTGAGGACCATAAGAAGTATGTAAGACTGTAAAGAGTATCACTTTTCTTCCATTATTTGCACATTCATTACTTATCAATGGGAATTACGGGTCTCTTTCTGAGCCTCTCCGCATTCAATAGCTGCCATTCCACTGTCACTCACACAAACAAAGTCATCCTCAAGACAATGTAAGTTGATCTATGCACTGGTGGTCAAGGGCAAAGAACAGGTAATTCTACCTACACTACTTAAGGATGTAAGGATGCATAACACGATAGGACATAGATGTACATGATGTTTATGATGGAATAATTTATATGGATTCTGTTACGACAAACTGCTACTGGAGGCTGGAAGAAAAAACAGCCCAGTGTTGTCAGGATGATCAGATAATGAAAATTGGATTATACAACACAAGTGGTTCTTCTTTGACACCTGAAAGTTGCTGAAATGTGAAGTTTAGAGGACATAGTATGGCTATTGTTAAATTGCCCATTATTTTATTATTATTCAGTTTAATTCAATTTAGTGAATTTTTTGTTTGTTTGTTTGTGTTTTTTGTATGATGTGCTTTAAGGTACATTTTCCTTGCTGTAGTCGTATTTGTTATTCTAATTTTCATATTACCGAGCTCATCTTCAGCACTTGAAAGCAGCATCAGACACCATCAAGGCACAACACGTCCTTCCCCGGGATTTTCACGCGTTCCGTTGCTATGGAGCTGAGTTTGTTTCCTTCCTCCGGCTCATACAAAGTGAAAGGTTGTGCTTTAAAATAAAGTAAGGAGCTTGTGAAAAAACTCGGAATAACCGTGACTGTCCTAGCTGTCCAGACGTGCTGGGTATGTGGATTGTGGACAACATAACGTAAGAATTTGTAAAGTTTTCCAGCATGGTAAGGAGCGCGTGCCAAACAGGAAACGCCAGGTTGCTAGCTAACAACATTATGTGGATGTTATGATAACTGCCGGTTTATCAGTCAACAGTTACTGTTCAGTTACTGCTCAATTAGGTAACGGTACGTTACGATTTAAAGTGGTTTTCAGATGAATTCAGGTTTGTTTTTCTTGTTGTATTTCAAACTGTAACATTCAGCAAAGGGTCAGTACGGGTCAAATGGTCAGTAGCAGTGAAAATATCAGTTTGTGATATAAAAATCTTTTCTTTTTGGAGTTAATGTAACGTTATGAAGTAACCTAGCTTACTTAAAATGTGCTGTACTAGTTCTCAGAGAGGAAAATGTCACTGAATGTTAGCTGAAGTGAGTGAAATTAAGGCCAGACTTGATTATTTTAGGTTAAACAACGTGGAAATTAAATATCAGTGGTCAAACAAATTCAAGCTTAAAGTAAGGCAGGTAATATTGCACTGAAGATCTCACTGTAAAGGCTCCACAGGCTGTTGTTAGTGGCATAACTAATAGTGCTCTGTGATGATTTCACATTACAGAGTGGTTTAACTATACAATACTTCAAAACTTCTACTTCTAAATTCAAATTTAACTTGATCAATTTTCACTTATATAACGCTACGCAATTGCTTCCACCCATGGTCGCATATATGCCTATTTGTCCACCAGCCTCTCCCTGCCCCTACAATGAGTAAGAGAGAAGCAGAGGGCCGCCTGCAGGTCCTCCAGATCTACCGCTTGCTGCAGTGGGTCCACGAAGGGGATAAGGTGCAGATAGAGAAGATGGTGAACCTTGGGGTGGAAAACCTCATAAATCTCGCTGAGCCACAGGATGGCACAGGGGTGCTTCACGTAGCAGTTTCAGCCAACAACCGAGGTGATGGGCCTCTTCCTTGTTCTGTCAGATTATATATAGTCTAGTCAAGTGGTCCTTGTATGGTCTGCTGTGGCTAACAACTGGACATCAGTTTGATATTTTTCAGATTCAGTTATATTTGGTAGTTGTCAAAACTGAAGCAGTTGGTTCATACACTAACTTTGATAATCCATATAAGGTAATTTAATTAAAGTGTTTGCTACTTCTAAAAACCCTATTTTATATTAATTTTTAAATAATGTGCAGAAAGAAGTGTACAGACTAATAAAACATGTGAATATGAATATATATATAAAATATATAATGAAAACATGAATTTTCGTACATTCTTAAAATATCTCAATACAAGGTCTATTACTATTCCCTTCAGTAATGTTGATGAGTGATAAATGTACAGTGCATTAGGGCAAAAAAGGGATTTAGCTAAATAAGAAGCATTGCAGGCTATTGTTGGACATAATAGACAACCCTGCCAGGTGGTTGTGTCATTACTTTTAAATTTAATCTAAAGAATCTCAGAGATATCAAGCTGTTCATAGAATGTACTGTCACTTCCTCCTCCTGACAGTTTCTCTATTCTCCCTGACTCCTCACAGACCTGGTCAGCTTCCTTCTCTCTCATGGAGCACAACCCAACATCCAGGACAAGAAGGGCCGCACCCCAATCATGTTAGCTGCTGAGCTGGGCAATGACACTATATTGGCACTGTTGGCACAAAGCCATGCTGACCTGAGGCTCGAAGACGCTGAGGGCAAAGGTGAGCAGTAGGAGGCATTGACATTTGGCATATAACACATGCTGATGGTGTGTTCTGGAGAGAAACAGATTCTTGGATATACTTAGATTATACTGCAGATTTAGTACTTAATTTAATTTGGTAGTCTTACTGAGATTGAGATCTTGAAAGAGATACTGGGAAACCAAAACTGTCTGCAAAGAAGTTACAGATTCGCACAGATCAGTCTCATATTTTAACAACTGGGATAAAGAGACAGTTACATCGATCATGGGAAAGGCCAGTAGCAAACTCTTCAAAATGGGACTATAATCTTGTTGACAAATACAGAAACAGCAGATTGAAGGTATAAGAATGAACGTTTTGAAAAAAAACTCAGGACAGAACCTGTTCTTAGTAGTAGAGAAGAGTTTAGGATAGGTAAATGTCCAGTCTAAATATACAGGAGGGATTTGATGGAATAATGCATCTGACACTTAAAAAGAACAAGTTTGCATACAGAACCTAAAAGATTAGACCATTAATTTTTAGTTAACAACTAGTCAATTGGCATCAAGTGAGCAAACTATCTGCATGTAACATCTGCATGTGTTCCAAATGTAAACAAAAGGGTTGTCCTACCTCTAAATATCAAAGCACAAGATTGGAAACTAGTAAACTGACCATTTTGCAATGATATTTATGATCATGTGTGGAAGTAAAATGCTTATAGAAAGTACAGGTCTGTACTTATAATGTGTATGGTCAGTCATTTATGTGTTTTTAATAATAAGAGGTATTGGAACAGCTTCTCTTCCACTAATGTATTCTCATTTGAACTTGAAGTGTCGATTTCGCAAATAGAGGTGTTTTCCATCTCATGTTAGAGCAGCAGTTTCGTTCTGAATGCCCGGCCTTGTCTTACAACTCATGAAAATGCATGGTGCATCTGTTTAGATATTGATGAGGAGGCTGTATCCCAGACAACTCCAATCAGACGGCCAAAAGTTCTTCTTCAGGACCTTTTTAAACCAATTGTGATAATTACCCCAATTACAGCGTGTCCGGGGAATCAATTACTGCAAATGGCACTCTTTTGAGAGTGAGTGAATGGGAGAGGGAGGGAGGGAGACGACTTGAGTTGGGCAGAGAAATATTCGTGTGTGTGCTTGTGGGCATGAATGCATGCTTTTGTGCAATGTACTGTATGCTGTATGTGTAATATGTACATGATTGTGTGTATGTGTGTGTCAGGGCGTGTGGGTACATCTAATTACAGATCAACCCCTAATGGTGATCCTCTCCTGTAAAACACGCTGAGTAACCTGATATCCTCCAGCTCTCTCAAAGGACTAGTTTGGCCTAGTCTCAACACTCACAGCCAAGCCTTTTCTCCAGTAAGCTGGGTGTCAGTAGTCACACACTTGCTTGTGTTATCGCTGAATATCAGAGGAGTGGGTTTGCGACACCAGTTTGATTTATATATCAGGATTACTCAGGCTGGAGAAACTGAAAAATCAACATCTGTCTGAGTGTGAGCAGGACATTCCTGAAAAATAGAGCATTTCTCACAGCAAAACTGGATGAATAAAGAAATGTACCCACACGTGAACCGTGGCTGCCTGTCCTACATGGCCAGTTGCAGATTCCTGGGTATGATCACACACAGGCTTAATGACAAAATTAGCACCATAGTGTGTTTACTTCAGCCCTAGAGCCCAACTGTTACACCTATAAGCTAAGAAGCTGTTTCTCCATCGTACAGCCAACATAAATACTGATAAATTCCCTGCCTCTTCTTGTCATTATAATAATATTTTCATGGCATTTTTGCCCATATTAAACACTAGATAACTGCAACAGACAGGAAATAAGGCTGTAGCATTCACAGTATATGGTGAGTGTCTGAACCGGCTCCCAGGACGCCTCTGCCCAAAACTGTATTTGATAATATTGATACAGACATCTCATTTGATTTAGAGTCACTTTGTCTATCTGGTCTCGTCAACCTTTGCTAACTTTTGGTAAACTTTTTTTAAATCTCATTTTAGGTGTGCTATTCTACTGTATGTACCCTACCAAGCGCCACACCCGCTGCTTGCAGTTGGCGCTGAGGTGCCAGGCAGATGTCAACAACATGTCAGCACAGGGGACTCATGTCTTCCAGCTGATGTGTGAAAAAGCTTCAGAGTGCACCCCCATGTGTCTCATTATGCTGGATAGTGGGACAGACCCCAATGCAACAAACCAGGTTAAAAATTAGATGGTGGGAATGACACTGTGGAACTATGGGAACTGTATTCTGAAGGCATGAAGTATGAAGGAACTGATTGCTGATCCTTGAGGACACAACATAGTGTGATGCTGTCCTCTCCTCCGCTCTCCTCTCTTTAGAAAACTGGCATCACAGCGTTGATGGAGGCAGCCAAGGCAGGCTCTGTGCAGCTTGTGAGAGCCATTCTCAAGGCAGGGGGACACCCCAACTCCCTGGACTGGAAGCGCTTCACAGCAGTGCACTACGCCGCCATGGGGGGCTTTTTTGAGGTGCCTTAGCTACTTAGACACCAAACCTCAGTTTTATAGTGCTGATTAATTACGTTATATTAATCATATGTTTTCATAAAAAAATGTTCCTGTAAATTTCACATCACTTTCAAGTACAATATACAATACTTATTACTTATTATTCTCATTAAGTTTTTCCTCTATGTTTCAAATTAAATTGAACTAAATTTCCAGTTCAGTGACTATCAGTGTAGAGAGTATTTTAGATTACAGACTTTGATCTGTTTTCCTCTGGTGTTTTGTGCCTTCCAGGTGATTCAGGTGCTGTCTGCATACTCAGCAGACATGGGCGTGATTAACCTTGAAGACTGTACACCCCTACACTACGCCGCTGCCACGGGCAATGCTAACTGCTGCAAGTTCCTGGCACAGAGAGGTGTTGTGAGAGAGTCCAATAATCATGAGCATCCTGATGTTAATGCAGTGACTTTCAGCTTGTTGGGTTTTCAAAGATAAGACAAACATAACTCTGTGATCACTACTCCTAATGACTGCCATCAACAGGATCAACACAGGCCCTCTAATGGTCTCTTCATGTATTTGTATGTTGTAAGCTTATATCTCTGTTGAGCCAGGAAATTAAATGAAATAGCAAATTTTAGCAGCTGCAAACACAGTCCCAAATTAAATTAGGTAATTCAACCTTGTGTTTATATTTTTCATAAAACTGTGCTCTGTGTTCAGGTTGTAACCCCAAACTAAAGAACCAAGAGGGTTCGCTGCCACGTCAGATTGCCAAAGACGCTGGTCACAAAGCAGCAGCCAAGGAGCTGAGGAAAGCTGAGAAGCAACAGGGAAAAGGCAACAAATCCAGTGGAGTCGGCCTCATGTCAGATTTCTGGGCCCTGACCCTCCATGACTGGTCTTACGAGTATGAGACTGAACTACGGCAAGAGTTTGGGGACAAATCTGACACCGTTACCTCAGAGATGTTTATTTCAGTGTTAGAGGAACTAAAAGCTCCAGTAGAATCAGAACAGCTGCAAACAGTCATTTCAGCACACGACAAGGGAAAAGATGGATGTGTCAACATTAGTGATTTCCTCAAAGGTGTCAAGTACATCAAGAAACCTTTCCTCCTCTCATCTTATATGCCGAAAAAGAAAAAGGAGAAGGGAGGAAAAGGAGGTAAGAAGAAGAAGGGTAAATTTGAACTCCCAATGCCCATTTGCACCCTCCCACCGGAGCTCATGCCCCGGCGATCAGACGGAGGCCCACCTAACTTCATGATCGAGACATACTACAACTGCTCAGACATCTCTCGATTCGACCGTGACCACCCACCAGAACATCCCATAATGAATGACTCGGGATGGTACATGGAGAAGCCCGAGAAGATCTACGTCAACATCAACTACTGTGTAAAAAGTGGAGATCTGGAGTCTTTGGACCTCGCATTCAGTCAGGGGGTTCCTGTTGATGTTCAGGATCAGTTATATAAAACCCCGCTGATGGTGGCCTGCTCCAGTGGCAACTACAAGGTGGCTCAGTACCTCCTCAGCCGGGGGTGAGGAAACTCGAGTTCTTTTCTTCCTGGTTTTAGAAACAGAGATGTCACACATGACATGTTTTTTAGTTGCATTTAAGAAATAAGCGTAATAACATATTTAGGGCAAGTTAGCAAAATAGTTGGAAAAAATGTTGGATTATTACTAAAGCAAAGTAAGCAGTTTCCTAAATGTCTTTAGATTTATTTCCAAGCTTAATTTCTTTAATTTCATCACTCAGTTAGTTTTCAGAAGTTATTTATAATATGTAATGTGCGATTGATCAGCAGTGAACATTTCAGCATCTTCTTTATATACAAAAAGTTAGGTTTTTACTGCATGATACAACCAGGGGCCATTTTGAAAATTCTCCTCGCTGGTGTGTTCAGGGACACCTGGGTACTTAATAATTGAGATTTGGTGACTAAAGTCATTCCATGTATGAGGTAAATAATATTTTTAAAAAATCAGACCATGATGTGATCTGTTCCTGACAGGGCTGATGTAAATGCGTGTGACCAGTTTCTCTGGACGCCGCTGCACCATGCGGCTCATGCTGGACAAGTGGAACTTATTGATCTTCTGGTGAATGCCGGGGCCGATGTAGATGCTCAAGCCCTCAGTGGGGGCACACCCCTCATGAGGGCCATTGAGAGCTCTCGACCCTCCTGTGTGGACTTCCTCATCAAGGCCGGTGCCAATGTTAATGCGGAGAACAAGAAAGGTTTGAGTGTACATCTAAAAATGTGTTAAAGTTAATATGTTTAATGTGTACAGTAGTAAAAGATTAATATATATAAACATCTGGAAATATAAGAGTTAATTTTCATTAGATTTAGGGGGAGTAACATGGGAAATAGGAGCCTTTAGATTCAGTTTTAAGTGTAAATTCATGATAAGTTTGTCAGTTTTCAGACATTCTTTATATTTGTTGACTGAACTGTCTTTTGAACCAAATTTACCAACAAAATATACTGCAGTTATTGTAGCAAGCTGTCCCACTGTTATATTTAACTCTGACTTGTGCTGTTATTATTTGACTTGACTTATTATTACATATTTTATTTCTCTTCAGAACAAAACTGCCTTGACATCGCTAGAGCATTTGCAGACTCCAGGATAATTGACTTGGTCAAAGACAAAATGGATTCACAGCCTAAACCAAAGGAGGCAGTAAAGGGGAAGGGAGGCAAAGCTCAGAAAACTAAATCTGCTAAAGAGAAGGTACCAAAGTAACTATTAAAATCTTTTAACGAGCCAGCTACAAACAAAATTAAAATCGTGTGGCTTCAAATTGTTCTTGTTTTCTTTGTTTGTGTACCGTAAGTGTGCAAAACAAAAATTGCATACTGTTCCATGCAACCGAATCTGACACATTCAGGGAAAAAAATCATGGCTGCAACTGTGGGAATATACATAACTTTCCTTTTCTCTGAAGTCATGAATGTGAAAAGGTAACTTCCTGCAGAGACAACAGACTTTTTGTCCACTAGCACTGGCCCTGTATTCCATAAGCTTACAACAGAAGCTGACCTCTGAATGACATTAAACTAAAACTTAACCGACATTAGACTGAAAGCACTCTCTCACCCTGGTTTTCAACTGTGCACCGTAGCCTCTTTTTTCAGCATGAGAAACTCAAGCCTGTAAAGAGATCTGGTGACTGTAAGGCACCGACTTGTAAAGCAAATTAGACCAGATGTGTTATGTTACAACTAGAGCACACTAGAGTTGAATTTGCATTTCCTATAACCCGGCCACCATTAGACAAAATGTATTGATTTTGTCATTAAGTCTCTGAAAGTAGCAGGTGGTGCTGTTGCACAAATTCATCAGGAATATTCATAGCTCAGTGTAGCTGTGAGCAGCGGTTGTAGGGGGCAAGAAAGAGGCCATCAAGCAGAATAAATTGCACACAGGTGTAATATGGAGCTGTCTACCCTCTAAGCATTTATGATCATAACAGAAGAAAACACAGGCCCCTGTGCTTTCCTGTTTTCTACTAATGACAAATAATAATGACAATAATTCTCAACAGAACAGCAGGAATTCACTTACTAATATAAGAAAGTGACTGGCCTATTAAACTTCCATCCACTGTGACTCATGAGCAAGTCAGTCACTGTAAATAATACATGCACCCTCGAGTCAAAGTATGCTTTTCATTCATTATACGTTATACTCGTGGCTTTGAACCTGTGATCCTGAAATAATGTACTACCTACTGATCACACTAAAGGACAGATGCAGGTATTAAATCTTCTTTGTTAGTAACAGACGAACAAACAATCAAAACACACACAATAGATCTCTGTAAGATCTCTCTGACAGTCAAACTTGGTGATTATATGAAATAACCTATAAAGACCACATTGACATTCTTTGAACACATCGTAAACCAAATAATTTAAACTAACAAAAAGAAGTGTATTGAGACATGGAAGGGTTTAAGTTTATATGTAGAATTGTGAGGAGACTGTGAAGATGGAGTGGATAGAGTGATTGTTGTATTTGATCTTCATTTCAGATATCAGTCAGTCAGTTAAATGTCCTGCCCATGTCCTGCCATAGAAACAGAAAGACACCAACAGTCTGAAGACCTGTAACATACAGTGTAGATCGTAGAGCTACTAAGAGAACTGTATTTGAAACTGATTGATCTTGAAGCAGGGCGTGACAGAAGGAGACAGTGGAAATGATGCAAAGCACTTGAAACCAGGCCTAGATAATGTCGTTCAAGATCTTCAGTTCCAGTCCAACAGCAACAGCAGGTTAAAAATGCAGATGCAAACATCTGGTTTTACATCTAGAGGCAAGGAAAGTTATAATTACTACCATAACTGTAGTCCTTTGTAGCTTCCATTTGTGTGTGTGTGTGTGTGTGTGTGTGTGTGTGTGTGTGTGTGTGTGTGTGTGTGTGTGTGTGTGTGTGTGTGTGTGTGTGTGTGTGTGTGTGTGTAGTGTGTTAGTGCTATATATTTGGCATTTCTAATATGCAAGATGAGTTTGGTCATGACTGTTCACATAGTTGTGTATTTTAGAAAGGGGAGGAGGGTGTCTGAACCAGATTTTATTTATGAGGTAAAACAGATCAGTTGTTTTATCTGTTATTCTTATTTGTAGGACAGATTGCTCTTTCTACAGACTAATGGCACTTACATCAACTTGTCTGATAGTCAAGTGTCTGAAAAAGCTTAGTGTTTTTACCAGTTGATGTTTATTTTTATCACTACCCACCAAGATTTTATGATTTGAATTCATTAAATGTTGATTTAAATGCTTTTCATAGTTTTAAATAATGAACATTATTGTAAAACGGTTTTATGTCCTTTGTGTAACAGGTGTAATTTCTGCTCAGACCTCCCACCACCCTTTCACTCTGGAACCTCAATATGATTTATTGGAAAATCAAATAGGTTACAATTTTAATCTTGAAAGTGACAAATTTTACATTGACATTTTGCTACCGAAATGCATGTGTTATTCTTCATGTCTCTGGCTGTCTTGTTTCAGCTAAACCCTTGCAGACCTGTTGAGTAACTCTCTCTCTCTCTCTCTCTCTCTCTCTCTCTCTCTCTCTCTCTGACTGACCTGAATCTGACGTGTTCTGAATCTGAATCTGACGTTTGCTTTTGTAGCAACTGCACAAAGTACTTGGTTAAAATAAGTCAAATCTGAAAAACAAAGTGTCTCCTACAGGGCGTTGCTGCAGAAGGTGCAGTGCACACAGAGACGTCGACTTCAACAGCAGGGAAGACTCCTCAGAAGGATTCAAACAGCATCATCCTGCAAAACACCAGGATCACTACAAGGAAAACCAACTCTACGGATATCACCTTTGTGCCAAAGACGGTAGGTCGCACCACAGCTTATTGCTCCGAAAGATCAGCTCTGTTGTTAAAGTAACTTTTACCAAGATAAACTTGTTTCCAATCTAGAAACATTTGAAGAGGAGGCTTTGACGGGATAAATTCATGTACATTTTACCTCATCACCAAATGCGTACTGTATAACAAAAGCATTATTTGTAGCACACTCAGTTCAGTACTGTAACGAACTTACTGACTAATTGCACACAGTCTCTGTCTATATCTTTTTGTGACTTGTCTGTTTGCCTCAGCTTTGGGGGAAGCCGCCCACCACCAGCCAGCTGATGTCAAAGATAGAGAGACGGAAGGAGCCCTTATCCCTCGAGGTGGACTTTGACGACTTCATGATGCCTTTCAGCCAGAACATCCAGAGGACGACGCTGGAGCTTGCAAAGACCACAGACTAGACTGGAAGTAGGTTAGACAGAGAGAGACACTCCACGGCCACCTGCAACAATTATGGACATTCAATTTATTTTGGATTAATCTATTTCCATAACAGCTTCCTTTAATCGACACAGTTGGACAACATGTTACTAAACCTCTTACTTTTTAATCCTGTCATTTAGTATCAGAATTTGAAACACCATTACATACAGTACATGTATAGTTTCCATCATGCTAATCTTAATTAGGTAAAATCTGCTTTTATTAACAATCAAATAGCAAAACAATAATATGAATGTAAATAATCAATTAAAAAATAGATTTCTTAGGTACACACTGTTAAGTCCTGTATATCCACAGTGCTCAGCAGGGACTGTTTGTGTCTCTTGGCAACTGTCAAACAGCAAAAACCCAACAGATATATATATATATTTGTCAATACACTGGAACATACTATTTACTAAATATAAAGATTTTGTACATGAATACAGAATTGGTTGTTACTGTACTTTGTTTTCAGCCTGGTTCAAATCCAGAACCATTTATCTGCCTAAGATTACACGGCCATGAAAGTTAAATACCCTGATAGAGCAACTGCAGTAAGACATTAATCACATTACACTCGCTCAGTGTAACTTAGTCAAATGATCCAAGCAGCTAATAGGCCCAGTTAGATGGATATCGAATTAAGAATGCAAAGAAGAAGAGTTTTAGTGTTACAGACTGTGACTGAATTGTAACTGCCAGTAGAGCACAGGGGTAAAACAGTAGTGTACACACTGCAGTTAGGAAGTTGGTTAAAATCCTCCCCTGACTCTGCAGTGTCTGGAGCTGCAGTGAGAGACATGAGGAGTCTGGTAGAAGTGGCAGGAGGAAGCTGCTTAGGAGAGGAGGAGACAGGAGGCTGGTGGCACATTTAATGAATGCTTGCTCTCTCCTTGTTTGTTTGTTTCTTTCCTTTATATATTTCTTTCTTTCTTTTTCTTCCTTGTGTCCTGGAACATTCTTGTGAAAGATGCGTTTGACCTCTGCCGAATCCAATTATTCACTCTCCCTCTACATGCAGCCACAGACTCTGTGAGACACTGTGTCTCCTTAATGCTGTGATATTTGATTCCACTACCAGTCCTCCATGTTGCTGCTATTAACTGCAAGCCTATATCTGCTCTCCAGCCAAATGCAATTCCACGTTGATGCCAGCGAATGGCGCTGTTTGGCAAAATTTAGCAATGCAGGGGTTTGGTTGTTTATGAAGCTATGAGGACAGAAAACTTGCACTTGTGTTTCTAGCACAGAAGACATCAAAATGGCAGCCATGTGTATTTACTGTTCTCATATCAGCCACTCAGACTGCTTTGACATTTCACATATTAATGTAAAGAGGATATCATCATAAGAAGGTCAAGAATTTACTTTCTCCCTCCCTGTTTTATGTTTGTTTTGATGATGTGACTTCATTAAGGTCTTCAGGGCGGCTGGCTCTGAAGCCCCCAGTGGCTGGGTCATATTTTAGTTGTTGATGTGCGTATCAGGAATCATCTGAGAAGACACACATCCTTTTCTGCGTTTAATGTCACATCGATGCACTCTCCCATCATCACCACCACCATCACCAGATAAAATTAGATTGCAGTGTCCTCAAGGTCCATGGGGACTCAGTTATATAATCAAATATACGAGCAGAGGGGAGGGGGGCGGGGGGTAGCAGCTTTGAGGTTCGTAATACAGGGCCTGGATTGTTTAAATATACATAGTCACAATACCATTGATGACATGGATGTGAGAGAAGAAAGAGGCAGTGGATGAGAGCGATGACAGTGAGGCAGAGATGAAGAGAGGAATGAAAGCAGAGAGAAGCATGCACATATGTAATGATATACAAACAGAGTGAGTGAAAAAGATCCCTGAAAGAGCCAGGGACTAACAGCGAGGAAAGGGAAGGCAAAAGGACATGAGGATAGGAGAGGAGAAGAGGTGGAAGTTGGGGAGGGGGGTGTAGAGGATGGGGAGGGAGCACGACGGAGGAATGAGAGGGGAAGTGGATGAGTGGGCGGGAGGAGAAGATGAGGGCTTTTCTAGCACAATCAGTGGCACACAGGTTATAGGGAGTAAACAAGGCTGCTGGCTCTGATTGCTGGCCATGACGCAGTGTGTCTGTCAGGGCGTGGGCTCGGGCTTATATGGTCATGCAGTATGTGTGCTGTGTGTGTGCGTGTGTGTGCGTGTGTGTGTGGTTCTGTGTATTTCTGTTACACGGGCATGTGTCTGTGTAAAAGTGCATATAGAGATAAATGTGGCTGTTCAATAACATAGACAGATATTAGTTTTCCTATGTGAACACAGTATGTTTATGTGTGTAAATGCATGTTTGTCTTTGCATCACTCTTCATGTATGTGTACGTTTGTCTGTGTGATTGTATGTACCTGTGATTTTGTGCTTTACTATGTATGGAAGTTGATGTTCTTGTTATATTTGTCTGCGTGAGTGGGAGTGTGTGTGTGTTGTGCTAAACTGTGAGTGTACATACATGCTAATAGCTTATGTCCAAGGATATTTTTTATAGTGTAAGAGCCTTTTTTCTCCTCTCCTCTCCTTCTCTCCTCCTCCCCCCTCTGCTGAGTATCAGTCTGAGCTCAAATCAGTGTGTGTTGCTGCCAGCAGCACTGCAGTCTCCCAGCTCTGGTCCTGCACCGCTTACTCAGCACTCAGGACTCCAACCCTTCACTTCCCAAAACAACCCACTGGGACGCACAAACACAAACACACACACACACACACACACACACACACACACACACACACACACACACACACAGACTATATTACCGCTGTTTACCACATTATTGTACGGTATTATTACTATCTATTATAGCATTACTTACATTAAGTATGCATGCACACAGTAACAGATGTGCTCAGACATGCATATAATCCAATAATTGCATACTTTATGCAAGCAAGCATATACAGACAAATACGCTGGACATCACACACACACATGCACACACATATGCTGAGATACACACAGATGCACTGTCAGTGCTGTCTGTTTCTGCCTGCAGCCTCCTGGAGCAAACGTAAACAACATGAATACATGCAGACTGGGGCTGCATGGAATGATTATTTTCATTAATGATTAATCTGCTGTTAAATCTTCTCAAACAATTGGCCTGTCTATAAAATGTCAACATCAGTTCATCCACCACAGATATATAGTTTGCTATCATATATGACAAAGAAAAGCAGCAAATCTTTGTGTTTAAGAAGCTGCAACCAGAATTTTTTTTTTTTTAATTTTTGCTTGAAAATGACACAAAGGAGTAGGATTAATCTATTATAAAAATACTTCCCAATTAATTTTCTAGTGATTGATTTATCAACTAATAGATTAAACTCTAATGTGGATAGACATAACACATACATACTGTATATATATGTATGTATGAACATAGTGTAAATTCCTAGATTACAGTATGTTTCCTAAGTAGCCTCATTCTAAATACTGCAGTTGGTACATTGTAATTTACTAAGTGGTCAGCCTTTGCATTTTTGATTAGATTCATTTAATTAATGATATAAAATACAGCACATGTACATATGTTAAAAAGTTAGATGATAAAATATATTCCCAAATTCAGGTTCAAAGAAAATCTATTGTCTGCAATTTCATGGCAGGATGGATTCAGAGCTCAGTCGAGTGTCTCTGTTTCCCAAAGAATAGATAACTGTAAACACAGTAGCGGTGGTATAGAAATGCTGTGTCTAGTGAAACAATGGCGACTTTGTACGGATCCTGGTTTACATCCATTATTGATGAGGGAGTCGTGTTTCACACCACTGACTGAACTGTGTGTGACACAACAGGACCACATGTGTGTGTTGTGTTTGGTGTGTGTGTGTGTGTGTGTAAGCATTTTTTATTTGTGAATGTTTGGTACCTGTGCAGGTTAACTGAGTGGGCAACTGTATTTCTATGTGTGTGTGTGTGTATGTGTGTGTGTGTGTGTGCATGTGTGTTGCAGTGATTCATCATTCATTAGCGCAGCCTTGGCAGTGCCATAGATCTCTTTAGCTCTCCAAGCTATAGATTCCAATTTGCTGCAGGCCTGGGACTTTTATTATGAGGATATTGATTTGAATTTCATAGTGAGACCAATAATGCTGGGTGGTGAACAGAGTATTGGGTCTTGGCTCAGATAAACAGACCGATTCCTGGGAAAGAGACCCAAAACAGATACAATAAATATCCCACTAGACAGATTACAGCTGCAGCATTTTACAGACTATACTTCCTTCATAAAAAGGTCATTTCAAAAGGCGTTAATTGTGAAAGATCAGTAAATACATCACAGTTTATCTCTATCTTTTCTACTATAAATGTTCTATAACAATGGGAATCACAGGATCACCATATTTAATAATGTCATCATGAAAATACTTAGTAGATAGAGAAACCTTTCATGTTGTAATTTATTATGCATTTCTTGTAAGAGATACATTATCTTTACTGAGATTTTCTTAACCTGCCTACCTCTAATTGTAGAAACAGAAGTTTCCTCTTCCCTAAAACAGCTCATTAGTGTTGCTGGCAGTGATCATGAAAACCAGAGGGGTGCCATTAGCCTGAAACCACAGTAGTTTCTGCCTCATTTTACTTGGCTTTTAGTGATACATTAAAATGGAAAGAAAAATAACTAGAATGGAAGCTCAGCTAACGTGAACAGGGTTATAAGGAAGGAAAGCAAAAGTGTAACTTCAAAGATATCACATTTTAAAAAGTAGAAACAAAACAAGAAACAATTGTAACTCATCTCTGACATGGACAATCAAAACAAAACTTGGCTCTATTCTTCTCCCATAGGAGGTGTTTCCCTGGTTGTATTTACTTTCTCTGCTATTTAAAGCTCCTCTAATCAATATATTTAAACTATCATATAAGGGAAAAAGCTCTAATCAATATATTTATACTTTATTATATAAAGGAAAAAGCTCTAATCAATATATTTATACTTAATTATATCAAGGAGCCAGATATTTTGCCTCAGGACTCAATGGAGCCCAAAAACAGCTAAAAGAGAGTGAATATTGAAATGACATTCATCAGGTGGACAGAAAGATGACCCAAAACAAATGGTAATAATAAAAAACACAACTGATGCAAGTTTTATTCATTCTTATTATTGTCTATCCGTTACTACAAATACATTTCCTATTAAGGGCAATAAAGGCTTAACCTGAACAGAAGTACAGTAGCGCATTATATTTGGTTTGATTGGTTTTACGATACTATCAAAATGAAATGGGCACTTTAATCTATTAAATTTTATATTACATTATTGACTGCGTGTGTTCAGATACTCCCAAAGTTTAAAAGCTGTTGTTATGTCTTTGCATTTGGCTCC